GCCACAACGCCTGGTACAGTAAGCGGAGCAGCACCGCCAATGATCGGATACCGGCGACGTCAGCGTTCCCTCTTTACAACAAATGAGAAGCTAGGTGGTTCGAGTCGAATGAGTGCTCGCGGTAGGCGAAGTTGGGTTAGACTTGCTGAGGGAGTTTCTATGTACTACGGACAGCTATGCCACGCTATTGTGTGTTTTGTTCGCGCTCTGTCGACTACTATGTACTAGCATGTTGTATCGTGCATTACAAAGTCAATATGGACTAAAGAGCATTGTCTAGTGGTTCACGTTAGCGTGTTATACGAACTGGTGCAGAGGCTAGGTGCAGCTACAGGCGGTTCATCACAGGGCTCGTTCGACGGACAGAGAGCTGTTGCGCAACGTGTCCAGGCGAAATCGAACGTCCGGGATAACAGGACGTTGTAACAGCTTCCACGGCAGTAACAACAGTCGACGCTACCGTTGACGTGACTTTGTTTTAAGTACAATAGCCTGACACCACCAGTGCTGTTCGTTCATTTCGTCGTGTGCCCAACCAAGATGATCCAATATCCGGATAATTTATTCGTATTTTTTGATGGAAATATGCTGTTGCGAAATCATAAAATATGTGTCGTTGCCGCTGCCGTTGTCGTTGCGTGAGCTGAACGCGAACAAATAACCGACGATTGCGAAATCTCCTTATTATTGTCGAGGAAGATAGTGTTTACAACCGACGACGGAATTTAAGAAGCACATGTGCTTCGAATTATTTACGTAATTGATACTAGTATATGATTGGACAAGATTCTTCGAAATTCGGTGCAATTTTGCCGAGAATTAGTGTTATGGCCAATCAGAACTGCTTATAATGTCCTTATATCGAAAATCTCTTTTTGATTGGACAAACCGCTTTCGTATGATTACAACTTCGATGCTTCTTAAATTCCGTCGCTCTCTGTAATGCATATACTGGTAATACATTTGGTTCTTGTATTCAAATAATGAAAAAATGTAAACTGTGAAATATGATTCCTTCAAATTGTGATAACGTGACGGATCTGTGATTTGCCGAATGATCGGTAATTTGCCGAGCTGCATTACCCAATAGAGATCAAGAATTGATATGATTGGATAATATGTAAGCCTGCAACAACTAACACCTTCAAAAAATTATGCTGGGAAATAGTACAAACTTAAAGAGGAGCTCGCCTGTTTTCAAATCAAAATGCCGCCAAGAACGCCGTACTCACCTGACGATGTGGCTAAAGCGATAGCAGACGTAGTCTGCAAGGAGTACAACATCCCTTCTGCTGCACAAGCGTATGGCATTCCTCAGCGAAAACGACCTGGTGACCTGGACCTTGGCGATGGAGCGTGATGGTCATCCGGTTAACCGCACTCAAATCCTGGACAAGGCGGCCGCAATCCATGACACCGTACACGGCTTTACAGCACCGACCAAGCCGACGCCAGGTTGGTACCAGAAGTTTCTTGCACGACACGAACAACTCAAGACAAAGAAGTCCAACGTCATCAGCAAATCACGACATGCAGTCGACGAGAACGCTGTCTCAGCATTTTACGAGGATTTGCTTGATGCCTTGACCCACGTCAACATGGACCCAAAGCGCGTATTCAACATGGACGAGACGAGTTTCTCTCCATCAAAGGCAGCGACGAAGGTGGTCGTTCATCGGTCAAAGCAGCATGTCTACGTCGAAGAATCAACTGTGTCTGCTCACGTCACAATTGTGGCTTGCGTTGGTGCCGACGGATCAAAGATCCCACCTCTGTTATCCTCCCTGGCGATCGTGTTACGACTGACGTATGTGACAGCCTTGTGATACCGGGTGCAACGGTGACAACATCTGAGAAGGGTTGGACGAACTCATACATCTGTCGAAAGTGGCTTACCATGCTCGACTCTGCGATACCTGCGTCAACACCGCGACCAATTCTGCTGATTTAAGATGGATGTTCCTCGCATTACTCCACCTACATCTACGATGAAGCGGTGCGCCTGAGCATTTTGCTGCTGTTCTTGCCAGCAAACTCGACTCATATGTTCCAGCCCGTGGACGTGACGGTGTTTGGCCCGTTTAAGCAAGCCATTCGTCGGGAGATTGCCAACGACATGTGGAACGACGTTGCGACGAGCATCACAGGCAACACGCGATTTCGATCTCGTGTCGTGTGTGGTCGTCGTCAACAAAGGATGCCTACATTGTGAATGGATTTGATTGCCCCGGCTTGTGTCCACCATCCCTCGTCAAAATGCTGTACCGTTTGTCCATTTTCCAAGCCGTCTCAGGACGACTCGGTTGACATTGAAGCCACGTGGCTCCAACGCAGTGCGATTGTGAGGAGCGATGTGCTCTTGCTACCCCCGCAGAAGAAAAAACGTGCTGCGAGGAAGACCTTGACTGTGAGCGGTAAGTTTATCACTACCGATTACCATGCAAATCTCCAAAGTCAAGCTGCCGCTCGTCCCAATGGCCCCAAAAGGACTCAGCTGATCACGAGGAGGACGAAGTAGCTTTAACCGAGGAGTTGGTAGCGGAATCATACTGCATTTAAGTGTGAAAGCGTGCACTTAATAATGCTTACATGTTAGAACGGAATACTGTTACGCTACAGAGTTCTAAAGTTGAGGAAAAAGATGGCGCACCCCGGGACTCCAACCCGGGGCCCATCCACCACCGCCTCATCGTCTTACCGATTTGCTACGCGCCAAAGGCTTGGCTTATATACATTGAGCACAGTATAAGTGAAGCATAACCTGTAAAGTATTATTACTGCATACACGTAATATTTCTCTATAAATCAATAATTTTGTTTCATCGAAGCCTTAAAATTCCTATACTGAATACAAGGTTAAATTTCGGCAAAACACCGATCGCCTGTTTGAGCGCCTAACCTTATCATTTTATTTGCCCTGATTCAAACTCTTACACTTGATTTGTATTCGAACGATGAGAAAAAACTCAAAAAGGCGAGTTCGGTACTGCAACTTTCAGCTCGAGATAATTTGAACTTCGCCAGGTATGGTCGATTGAATGAAGCTCAAAATCGGCAAATCACAGATCCGTCACGTTATGAATTAAAACTCTTTAGAATTGTCAAAAGTGTGAGGTTTGCATTTACTTGACTTTTGTATGTCCGGAGGGAATTACGATTTCATCCAGGCGATAGTCGGGTGGTTGTGAAATACAGTATCACCTGTCTAAGGGGAATTAAACTACTAAGTGAGTTTTGCATTCCCCCACGTTTTCCACATGATTCGTTGCTTACCGCTCTACCTGGAATAAATATGAAGGTCATGATGATTTGTTGCGGTCGCGGTAACGTTAGTCTTAATTATCCATCGTCGAGTTGGAATCTTTAGCTGCGAGTTGATCCGCAGATTGCCACAGAAACTTGCAAGCCGGTGCCATCACGTACTACTACCGGTATTAATAATACATACCGGTACTGACGGTAGTGTGGAAAAAGATCATTTTAGAGGGAGCGAGGCCTCACAATGGAGCAGTTTGGAGCGAACTGTTAATATGGTGCACGTTATCTATAAACTACCAACTTTTCACGAAAATTCTATTTCATATTCATTACGAAGTACTCAAAATTTCAGCAAATTGAGACGTAGAATCGACAAATCTCAATGTGGTGAATTCCGTTAAAACTTGTCAAATGTTAATGAAAATACCTTACGTAGTACCTGTCACACACGGTACTAACGTTAGGGGTTAATCTCATTAGCAGAGATACTGTAGCTAACCACCGGCGATGTGCATAACGTTAACCCCGGAGAATGAGCATTAAATGCATCCATCGCGATTTAGGGATTAATGTGTTTTAGATCTATGGGGCATCGGGGTCCCGAGGTTACAGGGCTACATAGGGATTAATGTGTTATAGATCTAAGCTTATGGGGCATCGCGGTCCCGAGGTTACAGGGCTACAGTATGGGTCTCGGCTTGGTGAAAATGTGTTGGAACGGGTAATTTTGAAACATATGGACTAACTGTAAAGTAAAAATGACCTGATTTGGTATTCTCTATTACTGTACTAACTGTAAGTAGTCTGTCTCCCTATGATCCAAAGTTGCTCGAAAAAGCTCCATTCTGAGGTCTCGCTCGGAAATAATCCACCGTTTGCTCGAAAGTACTTTAATGCACACCCTTACTATACGTATACGTACGTTTAAGTGAACTGGGAAAGAACTCGACACAGTAGTACAATGATAATCCAAACTCAATTAATCAACACAGTAGTATGCAACTATAATTAATTTCAAGCTATGTTAACGTTGCTAACGTTAGATTATTACCGGTAAAGTCGCCACGTTATATCGTGGTGCAAAAGTATCCTACTAGTACATTGCAATGCCCATCAAACACCGCTAAGCTTCGTCCAAGTTGTCGAGGTGGCCACTCAACATAAATATCCGCCTTCACCATCTTCGCTGCGGTTGATGCGATACAAACTTGTCTTCGTCTGCCATGTACGCATGCTTGAGCAGCAGATGTAACGTCTCAATGTGTTCGGGTGCTTGGTCGACTAGAACAGGGGCGGCAAAGCCCACGCGGTTCCAACGACAAAGGAACTGGACCCACATCTCGGCACTGCGAACACTGGAGGCGAGAAACGTGAGCTTCCTTGGTGCAGCACTCGGCACTTTCGTACCCCCAAAACGGTGTGAAATGTCCACTTGAAACAGAGATTTCTGCGCGCGACGGACACACACACGCTTTCGAGTCAGCGCCACCTTTTCTTGTAGCTCATGTCGGTCAGCTCTCAAGTATAACTGCAAGTAGCCTTCGGCTACGACGACATAGAACACTTGACCATTTCCCAGCCAGCAGCCGTCAGCTTTGTGGGATGATTCGTTGGAGCCGCCGAGAAGCATCAAATGGCCTTCCATCGTTCGTCGTGCATGTAAAGATGGATGAACTCTGACATGGGTTCCTAAAAATAGAGACCACGCTGGCGTGGTGGATACCATTGGTATCTTCTACCATTAGCTTACCATCACGCATCGCCTCAGTGGCGGTACATACTATACATGAAACGTTCGCTTCCATTCTTCAGAGCTACATCCTACATGTCCGCATCTATAGTACTTATTCAACTACTGTATCTTCTCCAGTCAATATTGTACTCGGATTGAACGTCTAGGACCTTTAAGTTGTTAGAATTTCAATTTTCATTAGGGTATTACAGTGTATGCGATACTACGGGGAAAGACGAATGAATCCTCAGTGATCTTCATCTGACGAATCCACATGCTCCCTTGTTTGAACCATATGCATCATAGATTTCTTCCCCAGTGCATTATTGCGCTTTTCACTCAAATTTGGTTTTTTAATTTATTTCGCATTATTAATAATACTTGAAGTACAAACTAACAGTACCGGTACGATACAAAATGTTAAGGTTAAGCTTACCTTATTTGCACGACGCGAAGGGACTGGGCTGAAGTTTGGATTGGCAGAAATTCGATAGAACGTGGTTTTGATTGGCTTGGCGGTACTTTAATCCACCATTTTCTTTAGGGCCTGTTCCAAGTATGGTGCATTTCAACTAAAGACTACAAAAAAATGCCTTGTCTTTCGACAGCTATTCCAACTTTGTATTGATATTTTTTAGGAAAATAAGCCGTAATAACGATAGACAAAAACTGGTCGAGACCAACAGAAGTTACGGTTCAAAATTTCGATTGGTGAAAACTTGATCGAGTAATAGAATTAAAACCAACCAGCCTTTTTGTATGGAAATATATGGAGCCAGGCACATTTTGGCCGAAAAGGAGCATCAAGTATATCTTGGTCTTTGTATACAGCACTTATCCGTATGAACGTTTCCATTGTATCCGGATTATTCAGGATATTTAACCTATTTACCAGATAAAAAACGTAAGTAAAAATAATTTAACGTCAACATTATGTGGGTTTAACTGAAATAACCGAGGCGTTTAATAGTAAAACGTCTCCTCCTGAGGATGGCCGATCTGTAGTCTTTAGATGAAATACACGATAGATATTTTTAGCAAATGCAAAATTGGTTGCAAGTACAGGGAGATGCAGGAACAGGATGTAAATTTGACATTGCGATCCACTACCGTTAACATGTACTGGTAAACGGTGATGTTCACAGAATTGCTGACTCCTTTCGTCGCTTTCCCAAATACTCGTGATCCTGCGCTACTTGTTGGGTTAAACCGGGTATTTGCCTCACCACTGTCGGATAGGATGTGAAATTTAATACATGATCATACATTTAACTATATATTTATAGAAATTTACTATCCGTTCGCTACCCGTTCTATATCAGAAAGTAAACATTTTATCCCCGCATGTGCACATGAGCAAGAAAAATTCGACACTCGATGCATGCGCGCATGAGCAAAATGTGGAACTTTGGTGGGTGAATACATAGGTGCACGCATGTGCGCGAAAAACTACAAATTCGTCCTCCACCGTCGTCGTTTTCGTCCTCTGTACTCCACGTAGGTAAGGATGCTTGCATGCACTACCTTCCTACACATGTGTAGTACATGATCTCACAGTTTCAGCTCACCTCCATGCGTCACTCCCGAGAAATTGACCACCTGCGCTTGGACTTTCCACACATTTGTGCGAGCACTGCATGTATGGGTAACAGCCAATAGCAAGTTGTATATGTTCAATGTGAGCGATATGTTGCTGACACGACAACCAAATCGCTCAATCGGATTGTCTAAAAAATATCTCACCAATCAAAATTCAATCATTTGTCGGTTATCCAATTACCGACTTCAAATTTGTCGGTTTGATGTGGGATGCCACCTACATGTATACATGCAGTGCTCGCACAAATGTGTGGAAAGTCCAAGCGCAGGTGGTCAATTTCTCGGTAGTGACGCATGGAGGTGAGCTGAAACTGTGAGATCATGTACTACACATGTGTAGGAAGGTAGTGCATGCAAGCATCCTTACCTACGTGGAGTACAGAGGACGAAAACGACGACGGTGGAGGACGAATTTGTAGTTTTTCGCGCACATGCGTGCACCTATGTATTCACCCACCAAAGTTCCACATTTTGCTCATGCGCGCATGCATCGAGTGTCGAATTTTTCTTGCTCATGTGCACATGCGGGGATAAAATGTTTACTTTCTGATATAGAACGGGTAGCGAACGGATAGTAAATTTCTATAAATATATAGTTAAATGTATGATCATGTATTAAATTTCACATCCTATC